GCTACCGCTTGAGCCACATCCCCAGCCCCTCCCTTCCATGTTTTAAGCTAGGTCTTTTTTCTAGAGACTCAGTTAAGTTCTAGGAAATTTCCTTGCTAATACTTTGATGAACTGATATTAACAAATTTTGTCTGCTCCTCTCTATGTTGTACATTAATGCACTAACAAACCAATACGTGCACTCATTTTATGTTTAATTAAAAATAGCATGTATTATGCATAATCATTAATAGATTCTTCTAAGTATCTTAGTTTTTTTCTTCCATGTTAAAGGGAAAACCTTTTTTGCCCTTTTTATTCTAATTTCCAGGAGGTTTCATAGACTTTATTTCCCAAACCTATTGTTGCATTTTAATTTTATTTATTCTACTTTATTATTTATTTTCTGAATGTACCTTTTTTTTTTTAAAAAAAAAAAGGAGTACTCAATTCTTGTTTCATGGTTGTAAATCTTTCCATATTACTTGGTTTCATTTCCTCTAGTTGCCTTTTCCCTACTGGTTTAGGTTTCTGTCTTTTGTTCTGATTTTGGTGCTGGGGGATTGACCCATGGTCTTAAGCATGCTAAACATGCACTTTACCCTCAAGCTACATCCCCTGCCCCTAGATTTCTATCTTTTATGTCGAGTAACACTTTACTGTCTACTTTCTTGAGAATTATGAAAAATGGATCAGGTTTGGGTAAGGCTTATTGACTAATAGACTCTTTATAGGATGATCCAGAGACTGACTTGTCAGCTGGTTAGGTGACCACAAATGATAGCATTTTTTTGTCTTTGAATCTTTCAAATTTTGCAGATAAGTATCTTTCAGTTGGTTGTAGGTGTTCTGGGAACAGGTAGGAAAAGACAGCAGGAAAATTTTGCAACTCAATTTGTAAATTATCACTTGATCTCATTATTTTCTGCTGTGTACCTCACTCTCTTCTTTTATGCCTAGTTCTCCATCTGGAGTCTCTGATTCAATTTTCCAGGAAATGAAGCCTCCTGTTTGGGTTAGTCTTTAGCTGCTTGGGGTGAGGAGGGGATTATGGGTTCTTACTCTGCCCTCAACAATTTCTATTGTTTTCATCCTAGACACTGAACTCTACCTTCCATGGTAACTCATTAATGAATTGCTGAGTCCTGAGCTTCATTGGGTTCTTAAGGAGAAATAGACTTGTTTCTTGTTTCTCATCTCTTCAGGCATGTATGTTTTAATTATCATTTGTCCCTTTGCTGTCCTCCTTCACGGATACTTCCAAATACATTGCCACCTCTCATCTACAAGTTGATCTTTTTCTCATTTTCTTTGTCATTGTGAACTTATTTTCAAAAATTAAAACAAAACAAAATACACATACACACCAAAAACCCCTTTCCTGTCATGTTGGTGGAGTTTGTAGAGGGAACAAGTAAATGTACATACTTGATCAACTATTTAATAGGTCCCATCCTATGTTTTTATATATGTATTTATTTATTTAGGTACCAAGGATTGAATCCAGGGGCATTCTACCCCTGAGATACAACTCTGTACTTTTTTTTTTTTACTTCTCATTTTGAGATAGAGTCTCTCTATGTTGCCCAGGCTGGCCTCAAACTTGTGATTCTTCTGTTTAAAATTGCTTCCTATTTTGCTTTTTTATTTTTTAAGATGGGGATCTCACTATGTTGCCCAGGTGGGCCTTGAACTTGCAATCCTTCTACTTTAGCCTTCTGAGTAGCTGGCACAAGCGTCATACCCTTGACCTATGTGATTGATATTATTTTTTTCCAATGCTGGGGATAGAACCCAGGACCTCGTGCATACCAGGTAGAGCACTGAGCCAAACTCCCAGCTCCCTGCCTATGTTTTTGTTAAATTAAATTTTACAAAAGACAAATTTCTGCAATTGACTATTACTAATCAACATTTTTTTTTGTGTGTGTGTGTGTGTGTGTGTAACAAGTCTGAATATTTAGGAAGAAAAGTGTAAGGATGTTCATTTTATTTCCCAGTTAAAAAATATATTAGCCCAACATAGTCAATTGAGTATCTTTGGATTTATTTCCTTGGATTTACTTATAACAATATGTTTGAAATGTGTTAAGTAGAAAAATTGGCAGATGGATGAGTCTATGTGTGTGTTTTAAAGTGTGACAGCAAGAGAAACCAATGGAAGAAAAGAATGAATCCAAGAGAGAGCAGAATGTTAGATTTTGGTTGTAGGAAGGGTGGAGTTTTAGATCATAACCATATAAACATTTTTAATATCATCAATACTTTTAATATCATCAATACATCAGTATCTAAACTTGATTTTTTTTTCTGTTTAGCCTCATAGACCATTCATGTACTGTTAGTGTTTTAACAATGCAGCCCCACTTGCACTATGGGTCCTTCAAATGAATGCATTTCTGGCTCTTGAGGCCAGGCTATCTGCAGCTCTCATTTTCTAGGCTGCTTTCAGAAGTCTCATATGAGTCAAATAGGAAACAATAACTGGAAACAATAACATTTTTCAATCAGGCAATTGAGAAGGGTCTACTTTGGTTCACTAGTCCAAAAAGGATCTTTTACTTTTTACGTTGTAATCAAAAAGATCAGTGGATCTATTATTTCTCTTGTTCTTTCTAAAAAATCATTCAAGTTTCCTTCAAACAACCTGGTGATGTGAAGTGTCAGATTTTGTCCATAATATTATAAAACCACATAATTTTGTCCATAATATTATAAAACCACATTCATAGTGAATGGAAATGAAACATACTACCCAAGTATTTGAAGGCCCTGATGTAAGGCTAATTCTGGAGAAAACAAATTTACTTTTCTTAAATTTCCCCTTGGAGAAATTTTAATGGGTAATTCTTATCAGAATAATTCCATACTATGTCAATAAAGCTGACTTTTCTTCAATTACCTCTTTGGAGTAATTTTTCACCTTTCTGCTAGATTTATGATGGCTATTACCAATATTATAAATTATCTCAGTGCTGTGTAGCACTGCAAGGATGCTGACTTCTTTAGGGAAAAAAAGATAATGTGGAAGTTTTAAAATTTCTTAGCCATAGAAGATACTGAGAGATGAGTCAAGTTTCTAGGAAAGCTTTGTCACTGACTTTTCCTGTGACCATTTAAAACCATGTAAGTGTCCTGTGTCTACTTTTGTGAAGTATATGACACTGTATGAAGAGCTCACAATTTAGTGATACCCCTCCAGGGTAGGAGTCACAGAAATCATGCTTATTTATCTTTGTTTTCTCTTGCTTAAACTCATAATAATTACCTAGAAAATATTGATCACAGCTATTTGAAAGAGAAATAGGATGTAGGGCAAGTGGAAATTCTGTTAGATTCTTATGAGAATAATTTTATATTAAGTTAATATATTCAGCTTGATTCTAAAGGCAATGTTGAGAGAAGGCCTATGGGGCTGTATGTTCTTCAGGGTAAGGTGAAGTAGCAAGCTGATTATAGTGGTTAGATGATTAAAAAATATGTATTTTTAATGGGCACACCCTTTGCTCAAATATAGGCTACAGTCAGTATGTGGCTGAGCTGTGATCTTTCTCTTGTTACTTGTACTCCAGTGTACCCTTTCAATTACCTTCACACCTACCAAAGGTTTTTAAGAGCTTGGCCACTTTCCATGTGTCTGAAAGCAACTCTGCATTAGATGTGAGAAAAATGTGGCTGACTCTAAACTTCAGGAGAAAGAGAAGAATGGAAGAGCAGCAGAAATTGTCCATGTATTGCTGATACTAGAAAGAGTTCTGGATTTCAGTCACGGAAATTTAAAAAGTATGATCCAGAACAAAATCTTCCTTTTAATATTTTTTGTAGGATGTTGTGGTTCATTTCTTTTCCCATCCAAAGAAGTCTCTAAGAGGTATCCCAATGTGAAAAACATGTGCAAGTTAGGAATGGCCTGTCCAAAGTTTAGGCTTGAGCATCCTCAATTACTGGTGTAGATATGAAGTGGAAATTATGATTTGTTATGCCAATGACAGACATGGTTTCCTTTTCCCCTGCAAAGGAATCACTTCTTTCTGGACCTCCTTGAGTCACCACTGAGGCATTTGCAAACTAAGTCAACACCGATATTTTTTATTCACCAAAGGAGAACAAAGCATCTGCTAAAAGAAGCAGCTTGATAAATAGTGGAAAAAGCATGGAATTCAGAGGACTTGCATTTAAAGCTTCTGTTCATGACTTACTCCTAACCTGCCACTGACTAATCTTTCTGAGTTTCTCTTTCTTTATCTGCAAAATGGGGTTAATGGAGGATTTCATCTGCAAAGTGGGGATAATAGAGATTGAAAAAGATGACGCCAGCACATTATTCCCAAAATAAACACGAATTCTGTCTTAACAATAATATTATGACTGTGTGGTGACAACCAAAACTTTTCTCCTTTTGCCGTCAGAAATGTCCTTGGCAGATTTTACATTCTTGTTCATATTGCTTTTTCTTTGGTGGTGCTCCAGAACACTGCTGTAACTCGAGGATGCATAGCTGCAATTTGTGTTCTGCTTCCTTTCCCAAGGGTTCAAATAAAAAGCGGATGTGAAGAAGGCATAAAAGTACGGAGCAAAAATCTCAGTCTATGCCATCAAATCTTGGAAAGTCATATAAAGGAAGAAAGATTGCCGCTGAGGAAGGGAAACGGCTCTTTTCTGGGCATGATTTCTGCTCCTCTGAAAAAAGCTCCGATGTTGCAAAAATTTTCAAGGCAGAATATCGTCCCAGATGGAGAAGGAAACACTGACAGGCAGAAAGGGAGACCGCAGGGTTCCGAGATAGCGTCGGGAAGGGGTGGCGCGCTGGGGGCTTAGAGCCTCTCAGTTCTTTGTTGGGGGCGGGGGAGTCGTGTTTCTATTGAAGAAATGGCTCCCCCTTGGAGAGGTCCCTCCACGGGAAGGCTGGCAGTCACTATCCCCCGCCCCTCCCTGTCCTTGCGGACCCCACAACGTGGTCAGACTGCGGTGCCTTTAAGACTTTTGCTAGCTGCACATGCTCAGCTCTTTGTGTGTGTAGTTGGAGTTTTTCTCTTTTAAGAAAAAACGAAGAAATAGGCAGGAGGTTGGGCTGAAGGAAGGGAGAAGCGCTAGGAAAAAAGCGCTGCACTTTTGCAGCTGCAGACGGTGGACGCCAAGGGCTTCTTTTCTGTTGAAGCCCGTCTGGGTCTTTTATTTGTGAAGCCCGGGAGGCTCGCCGTGCGGGTGGGGCTAGCTTCCCCCGCGCGCCC